GGGTCAAAGGCTCATAGGAACTTTCTTGGCTGGTCGAAGGACTGCCCAGTTTATCTGATTTTGATTCATAAACGTTTAGGTTTTATCCAAACAAGCTATTTGATCCAAAAAACCTTGGAGTTTCAATCAATGATTTCCTTGAAGATTTTTATCCAAAAGGGTTATGGATCAATATAAAAGGGGAAATTAATTTTAAACAATATTTGTTTTTATTTTTATTTTTGGCTCGGTTTAGGACTTTCCTAAAAAAATTTCAAGAAAATCCATAATTTTCTATTAGGTGTTTTGCTCTAAATTGTTTTAAGATGGATTTCGAAAATGTTTTGTTGCTATTTTCTGTAATTTCTAATGAAATTGAATTTTTTTGGTTGGTTCTCTAGTTTTCTAAAAATATTCATCCCATTTTTATAAGAAATTTGAATTCTTTTAAATATTATATTTAATTTTATGCCTTTTGCTTGGTTTTCTATTTTTTGAAAAAAAATAGTTTTCTACAAATTCATTTAATGCTTTTCTATGGAAAGTTTCATTTTTTTGAGTTGATAAAATTTAACTTAAGTTTCTAATTGAATTTTAAATTACTCGGTAGGAATATGTATTTTGCACTAAATAATAAATAAAGTGCATTCCCAAAAATAACAATTTTATAAATATGCATAACATTGCAACAACGAAAAAAAAAAGGGCACAAAATTCAATGTTTCCCTGCTTAGGGCTGGGACCATGTAAAATAGGGGCATTTTGGTAAATTAATTATTTCACGACATCTTTAATTTATGTGGCTAGAGCCAAATTATGATAATAGCTTTGGTTGTTTCGTGATCGTGAAAAATCAAGGGTATTATTATTAAACAATGAGGCGGATCATACTCTAGGTTCATCATGTTGAGTCACAACCCCAGACTTGTTCATCAACCAAGATGTTCAAGGCCACGACCGTCAAGATCATGATATGCCACCACGCCATTCTCTTTAGTTTTAAATTTGACTCATTTGAATAAAAATTTGATAGTTCACGAATCCTGTGGATGTCACTATTGAGATTTAATACATTTTAAGCTGTGAAATTATTGCGTGACACTGAAATGGGAACCAAACTCCTCATATTCAAGCGTCTTTGATAATTTTATCAAAATATGTAATTATATCGTGAAATCACTATGTCACACTTAGATGGAAAATAAACACCTTATATTCACGTCTTTGATAATTTTATATCAAAATATTTTAATAATATTTTCCATTTTTTTTTTTTTGCCCAATGTGGCCAAGCCTACCCACTAACACCTTCAAAAAAACTAACTCCTAAACTATTTTAAAAAGCACGTAGGGGCCTACCATCCACAAAATTGCCCAAAAATGCCCAAAAAAACTTGAACCGGTGGGTCACCAGTTAGACCACCAGATCTGGTTTTTTAAAGCTCACTCTCAACAATTGCCCCATTGACACATGTTCTCTAATATGGCATTGTTGCTGGGGTATTGTCTATTCCAATGGTTTAAAAAACGGATCGGTGACCCGGATCGGGCTTCCAAAAAACCGATCCGGATCGGCTAATCGACGATCCGGATCGGAAATCGGGTGAATCGGTCAGAATAACGCTTAAAAAAAATTCGAAAAAATTATTAAAATTCATTATAAATATTGGTTTTTAGGAATTCAATAAAAAATAAGGGTACTCCATTAAGAATTTTCATGTTTTTGAATGAATATGCGAATATTGATATGTTCTTTCCCTGCATGAACCGCCATTCAGCATTTAATTTACAGTATTTCGTGTTCATCCCTACACTGTTGCTGTTGGGACTCGATATGTGAATAATATGGCTGGGAT